GGAAGTACGGTACTTTAACGCATTTGGACTTCCACTCTCAGAATATTGTGGTTCAAACGCATAAGGCTCTAACCCAAGTTTTAAAAAGCACATTGTGCATATAAAAGTTGAGTTTATACTCGTAGTACACAATGCTTGGCAGCATGAACGGCTATGTATAATGGCGTATATGAATGCGATCAGATACTAAAACGTCATAGTTTTGAAAAGTACCCAGATGTTAAATATGCTTGTTCGTTATTTATTCCCCTCCATGAATGGCCCCCATGGTGTTTAATTGCATGCACTTCAAATGCCTATCCAAGCTACAGTTATAATTAAAACAAAATTAAACCACTGCAATATTATTTCGAATACAGTTTAGAATATACACAACTATAAATTAAGGCCGCATTTAGGTTCGCTTTAATACACACTACTACAGTTCGACTAAAGTTTACAAACACCACGGCCAGTCACGCAAAGTCCCCCAATGCACCGGGGAACACGAGACGAACAATTGTGCATACTTAGATGACGCCTCCACACTAAACGCAGCGTGAAAATGGCAATTTAAACTTTCCGGGGCAGATTTACATAATACTACAGATTGATAACATAAAATCCATCAAAAGGGAGCTGCAAGTCGTATAATGCCAAAACAGTACCATGATTTCACAACTTTCAAAATACATTCGCTTTTATCGATGTCTACTGTTCAACAGTTTAATGTCTTCCCATTCGCAAGAACACAAAGCCTAAACTATCAGAAATTCGTAACACATAATTCGAGTGATGGTATAACAAAATAACTCATCATTTGTAAATTCAATCCATCTAAAAAGTATAAAGAACATTTTTATAAACAATTTTTAATTATATAAAGAAACAAGATTTATAAACATAAATCTATTTAAATACATTCTCACTACAAATTACACAATACTTATTTTCTAACGGAGTTTCTTCACAGCACAAACTATTGGAATCATGCACACATGAGTACTTCGGTGACACATTTTATAGCTACGCCCAAAATAGTCCATCATTTATTACGTAACTGTGACCACATGACATCATTCTGTTAACATCCACACATTTTCATAAATTCTCCATGCACTTTTTGACCAATACTATACACTGCAATTTACTCCAGAAAAACAATTTTCTTGGTACATTCCTACATTCTTGCATACTAATGAGGGATTCAGACACATTCCAAGCTGAACAATTTTTTTGGACTAACAAAAATAGATGGAGTGTGCAAATTTCACCATATTAGAGTCGAATTACCTCAATATCTTCTTTATGTGCAAGCAATGGTGCCTCCATGATATCTTTCAAAGCAAATGTTTCAGAATGAATATCAAAGGTATAACCAGTTAATCCTGTTATTCTATCCCAATGTCTGTCTTTCATTGATTTATTTGCCATTGATTCTAATAAAGGACAAGTCTCATTGAAGTCATCAATCTTTTTCTTCAAATCCAAGAATGCATCCCATTCCTTCATTGCTTTAGGAAGTTTACGGCATCTAATGGAAAATAATGTTAGTTTAATCACACCAAATTACATAATGGACACATTATGGTGCACAATGACATACCCTTTTTATTGTAGGTTAAAGTCCTGGGATATGGTGATAATTCCAAATCTTGTGTGTATTCCAGTGTCAGGTGTTTTACCATAAATTGTAATTAGTGTCTTTAACACCCACATTTCATATTAACTTATTTTGTTCACATTTTCATTTACAATGCCAGACACTTATTGCATGCTTTTTGAAAACAGGTTTACACAAAATTTGTGGAACTTTAAAGCAGGAGGGTTGTCACCTGCACACACGCAGGAATCGAGTCCCAAGCGACGATAACAACACACGCCTAAAAATGCAAAGGCTCATGGGTAGACGTTTGTTTGTAAACATTGACACACTATGGCCATCTGATGCATGCACAGGTTACGACTCCCCGCTTTAAAGGGGAAATGCTAGTTGTGCGTTTTTGAAATGTGCACATATTTTAGCACATATAATAGCAATGACAACATTTTATGTCAAAATTTGTTTATGACAAGTAATTGCATTACATAATTTCAGTGAGTTATCAAGCATGTCAGAGATATGACTCCTGAACTAGGCTCATTAATACAAAATGGCCATCAGTCATTTAGTTTTAATCAGATATAAAAAAAATTACATGTGTCAATGTACAATGTACATACCAAGTTTGAACAAAATCCATCTATATATGACCAAGATCCAGTCCCAGAATGACAGAAATGCTTGACATTAATAAATTAAAGCGGCCACTGTTTGTCCATCTTGACCCAGATTATATTATTCATAGATATGCAAATATGTGATGGAGAGTTATAGCCAGAAAATAGAAAGGGCATGTCTAAAAAGTTTATCAAAATGAAAGATAGCAATCCCCAGTTTGTAACCACAGACTTACGATGTACAATCAATTTTTTGTTATTTATGATTTTCTTGTAATTAACTGGTAATTTTCAATCAAAATTGTGGAGTACCTGTCTAAAATGGAAGGTAGACAGGTGACTGGCTAAAACATGAAAGCCAGGTCTGATGTGTCACATATATATAAAGTTTGAATATAATTGGTCAAGGCATGTTAGAGTAAAGCATTTGATAAAACAAATGATCAGTTGGCCATTTTGTATCCGATCGGAAAAACACAATGAAATGCATCAAGGTTTCTATAATATCCTATGTATGTACCAAGTTTGAAATAATTAAACCACATGTGACTGGGATTTGAGTGAACTTAAATCAGAAGTGTATGAAGAACTTATAAAGTTTGAACATAGTCTGTCAGATATAGCTCAAGAACAACGTTTTAATGGGATAGGTGCTGTCAACATTTAATAAAAGTTAACTGTACTGTTTTAGGAGTGCAATTCACATTAGTAATTGTGCTGCAAATTTTAGTGCAATTCACATTAGTAATTGTGCTGCAAATTTGATATACCTTGTTCGATCAACACAGTAACGCTGATTACAACATACTTCCCACAATGAAATGAGACTGTGATGTTTAATAATTTGTGATATTTGCATATATTAAGTAGGAATAGGATATGAGATATGCACATCTAACCTTTGCATTAGTGGAACAAAGTATAGTTAGTGGAACAACATAAATTATATAGATTTTACAATATGACTTATACATGGTAAATCACTGGAACTCATGTATAAGCATCACTTACCTGTTTTGAAAGTCCAGAAGCTCGTTGTTTATCTTCTCAATATCAACCTCACTCCATAAGATATCAGAATAGCTATTGATGCCATCAATCACAGCATTGTACAAACCATAGAGTTTTTGTAACAAGTTGAGTTCTTTCTTGGTTTTACTCAGGAAAGGATAGTCTGTTTCTGATAATCCAAACAGTGTTTCACCAGCTGAGTAAGTGGAATACTTTCTCCATAGTTCATCAAAATGACTCTGTGGCATGAAAAATCACACCAATTAAAATGCAGCAATCCAGAGTTTCAAAAGTACACTGCCAACCACAGTTTCTTACATTTGTCCTCATTCCCCAGACTTGGATGACAACCTTGGATGACATTTACAATGCATGCCAATATAGTTACTAAATACAAATATTTAATAGTTAAATTTTTCAACAGTGTGGTCAAAGGATCAATATAAATAAAGATTTATTCCCTGCATTTCACCTTTCCACAGAAATTTGACATATCCCAAAATGCAGTATTAGAAGTAATTAAAAAGAGTACCTGATAGACTGAAAGCCTAACACTTGCTTCTTGAGGTGTTATGCCATCACACATAGGACCACCCTGCAAAAGTAGCAAAACAAAATTAACTTAGTGTTCACAGTTCACAGTAATAATAATAGTCTTTATTGAAGTCGTATCGTAAAAATGGACATAGATCTGAGTACAATAAAACATCGTTGTCATTCCATGTTAGAAACATTCAGAATAAAAAAAAGAGAAGATACACTAGAAAAAAATAACTAAACAAAACTAAAACAACAATCTTGCCCGAAAGTGAGTTAGAAATGCAAATTAATAAAGTAAATGTAAGGATAACTTATTTAGATATCTGTGAGGCAGCTGTTTTTTTTTTTAATTTGGTTTCTCTTAGGTTGAAACATTCATATATGTATTTTGCTAGGCATTTTAGCATGACAGTATTCTTTGTGCCTAGTATGTTGATAAAGTTTGTATCAATGTTGTCCTCAGAACACTGCCTAATTGTGTTGAGAAGGATCTGTCATTTGTATAACTGACATTTTAACAGAAAGTGCTCTTCATCTTCAATATCATTAGTATCGCGTACAGGACAGCTTCTTTCAGTAATGTTAATTTTATGGTATCTGCCCATTTCAATTTGTAAAACATGTGCGCTTAAATCTTAGTTTGGTCATTGATGATCTGTGTAGTGGGTTATTTACTGTCAGCAGATAATTTTAAAGTCCAAATTCAGGTTTTAATTTTCTATAAGTATGTAGTTCATTCCTGTGGTTAACTGCCACTATGAACACACATATATACAATCCTCATAGCCAGCTATACATATAATAGGGCCAGATTACAAAATTTGGGTGTTCCAATAATGGATTAAAAACTAATTTTGGTCTCATTTGCATAAAATAATGGGTAGATAGGGTTCCTGGAACACCAACATTATGTATATACTGTATCAAGTATTAATCATTTAAGACAAGGAAAAAATCATTTCCTATATGACATCAATTTTATTTCGTTATTCTTCTATTGTACTGGGGGTAGGAGGTTCTAAATAATATATACAATATCAATCTTACCTCTTCATATGACACTGTAAATTCATCAACACTGGTATGGAAAACCTCTACAGAATTCAACAACTCAGTTTTAAACTTAGGTTGAATTTCAAGTAATTCACTCTGTACAGTACACTAAAATAAAAATTGGGTATTGTATAAGTATTCTTCAAATACAATGTAGTAGTGAATATTATTTTCAATTATACCCGGTAGTAATTAGAATCAGACTTGACTCGAACAGAACAGAAAGAACCCAGACTGTGGCTAAAAACACAGTTCATTACTACTAGATGTGGCAGTTGACAGTTTACAATCTAACAGCAGGCAAATCAACTATTGATCATTAACCATGTTTTACACATTACAATGAAGCATGAGTATAGCTATGTATGATGCTGCAAGTCATGCTGCATGGTGATATATGACATATTTCATTGAAAGAAAGTGCCTATACTTACAGCCCTAGATGACAACTTAATAAATGAATAGCGAACAGTGTCCACTCTATCAATTTCTTCCTTGGCGACATTTACTTGAAATTTATTCAGCATAGAATAGGCTTCCTGTAAACAAATATATCAAAGCTTTGTACAACAAAACCAACATGTAATTGTTGATTTATAAAACTTGAAAGATTGGCGACAAACACTTGTGGTGGTAACTGACGTAATATGAGTTTATCACGATAATACCGCAAAGTATGCAGTCAGGCAGCATGGAATTGCATTGATTTTTATGAACACAATTGTTTTTCCTGCTTGAGTTGCAGTAATAATAATTTAATGAGAGATATAACTGCCATAAATAGCAGCAAAAAGAAGTTTTAAATGTGCAAACCAGGTGTCCATCGCACTCTATAGTACCATACTTCTGCATCCGTTGTAAGCAAGGAAAAGTGTTTGAATGTGACGACAATGATCTTAAATGTGACGTAGAAAAATTTTCTACAAAATCAAAGACAATGTAGACAAACGCGGACTATCCAACCTGTTTCTCTGAAAGTAACAAAGTTGAAACTAATCATTGTAAACTGTACAATTAATGTCATTAGGACAATCACTTTAATTGCTAGGAAACAACATTCAATTATATCACAATTACTAGAAGAACGGTCAGGAAACTCCCTTGCTTCTTTTGTTATGATGCATGTCTCAGTAAACATTTAAACAAAGGGAACAAGTCATTGAAAATTATTATTATTTATTATTTCTTTATTTCAGGTACACAGCCCATAAAGTACACACAAAACAGAAAACATACTAAAATAAGACATTTAAACATACAAAAGGCGTCTGTAATGGCGCCAAAAGATTGCTTTATAATATGAATCGCAGTTAATGCAATCGAAAATTATACTATTTTTACTTTGAAAAAGCTGCATATTAAAATTGTACAATGCTTTTCTCTGTAGAGATGAAAAATTTTAAATATTTCTATTGACACAATTAGAACTAGCACCTGAGGCACGTCTTAGTTTAACAAGCAGCCTCTCGGCTGAGATAGCTCCACTGTTAGCAATGCACATTTCAATTAAAGAACAGAAGATATTAGAAAATGAACAATATGCATAGTATCAATGCAATGGGACTTGCTGTTTTCAACAAGAGTTCAAAAATATCATTTTTCACCATAAATGATTGTGGTTTTTAACAAGAAGAAAATATCACTTTTTATTAAAAATGACAAAAATATTCACCAAAATTAGAGTATTTAAGATATCATCATGAAATGAACAAATTTTAGAGTGGTCCACATGTAGTACCTATATATGTGATATCAAAGCAATTGGACTTGCAGTTTTTAACAAGAAGTTGAAAATATCACTTTTTACCAAAAATGACAAAAATATTCACCAAAATTAGAGAATTAAAGATATCATTACAAAATGAACAAATCTGAGAGTGGTCCACATGTAGTACCTATATATGTAATATCAAAGCAATTGGACTTGTCGTTTTTAACAAGAAGTTGAAAATATCACTTTTTACCAAAAATGACAAAAATATTCACCAAAATTAGAAAATTAAAGATGTCATTACAAAATGAACAAATCTGAGAGAGGTTCACATGTAGTACCTATATATGTAATATCAAAGCAATTGGACTTGCGGTTTTTAACAAGAAGTTGAAAATATCACTTTTTACCAAAAATGACAAAAATATTCACCAAAATTAGAGAATTGAAGATATTATTACAAAACGAACAAATCTGAGGGAGGTCCACATGTAGTACCTATATATGTAATATCAAAGCAATTGGACTTGCGATTTTTAACAAGAAGTCGAAAATATCACTTTTTACCAAAAATGACAAAAATATTCACCAAAATTATATGATAGGCTCCGCTCGACAAATTCGACAGCGGAGCTAAAAAAAAACAAGATGCCTGCCAGTCGGCCATCTTTGATTCAATTGCAAAAGAAATTGTCATGGACATGTATCCTAACATGTATAATCTATGTACAAAGTTTGAATGAGAACTGACGAAAGCATGTCTAAAATACATTTTCAAAAAACAAGACGAACACGCTGACGAACATATCTCTCCCCTCTGTGTGGTTTGCGATTGCGTCTCGCTGGTATTCTTTGCAAGAAATATCATGGTAGTCTTAACGTTCCAGCATTTTTTACAATGCTTTCGTCAAAAACTCCTGTGGAATGTGCCGCGATCGCACATAGTAAAGTCAAAACAAACTTTGCGTAAGTCGTGGGCGATCCTAGTAGCCAGCCATCCCTGACCCTTTTCACGATTGGCCACGATAAAATGATAGACATCTGCGCGACTATTCATTTGCATATGAAAGTACCCAGATCTGGTAAGAAATCTTACCAGTGAATTGCAGAACAGGACAGTTGGTCGTGCCTAACAGCACTCCATACTTCCTGTCTCGACGTTTGGAATTTATTCACTCCTATTACTTTTATACACAATATTTATTAATAATAACAGATTAAGATTAGGTACGACCGACTGTTGACAGTCAAGGGGTACAAAATGCCATGGTCAATTTCGATTCACAG